TTGTATACTTTGTGACAACCAATCAAGTATTGGTAAGGCACAAATAGAAGGTCTAGACATTTTCATCGAAGACATAGTTCCATACAACGACTACTCTCCTGTGTTGTCACTATCGACTATATACAGTCTAAGGACAATATTACGGATTTGTTAACCTAAATGTTAAATCAAGAGTTAGTGAGAAGTCGTTAAGAGAAATGGGGTTAGAGTCTTTAGCGAATGTCACCGAAACAGAAAACCCAACCTAATTGACTGGAGATCCCAAAGTTTAGGTTCAAAAGGACAACATAATTGTGTGTAACGAGTGAGTCATTGTGGAGGTAAATCCTCTTATCCATTCTTTTATACAGTGATACCCTGTGGGGTAGAAGGTTAAGTTGATGCTTTTAATGACCTAAGTGCTGTGAATATCCAACCATACTATAGCGAGATACCTTATGTAGGTCATCTATGTGAGTGCGAAGTAGGACCGCTTCTTTAAGAATTGACAACGGCGAATTCTTTAAAAACATTCATTGAACTGGGCAAGTGTTCTAGGACCAAATCAGACACACCAGTAAGAACAAGAATAATGGTTGGAGTAACTCCTGTGTGAGGCCTGTTGTCTTAGCTTACACAAACGGAAGAACAATTTAACCCATCACGTTCAATATTCAACCAGTAAATCTAATAGGCTTTTACTACGAAAGGTTTAAAGCCAACAACTACATTTTCTGATGTAGGGTTAGTTTGTGTGTTTTGTCTCTGAGTCTTTGTTATTAAGCGGTATCCATTTTTCTTTATTCGGCCAATTTTATTTATGTGGGGAATTGTTGGAGAATAATGGTTCGATAACTTTAATTCGAAATTAAAGTGGAACCCAACCGCTGATTGAAGTGGGTCTAAGTGGGGTTATATTTTCTTAAGTGAGAAGATTACAATATAAAAATAATAAGTTGAAACCATTGAGTTGTGAATAAGAATTGCCTCATAAAGTGGGTATCAATAAAAGTTAGGCTTAGATTTGGATTCTTAATTTTGACTGAGCCTAGGCTTGTGCTTGTGCATGATTTGGTCTTAGACTTAGACTTTGACTTAATCTTGAGCTTGGGTTAGGCAGTGTTGTGTTGGGTTTAACTTGTATATGTGTTTGAAATTGGGTTTGGATCGGGTTGCGACCCACACCTGCATTCATTTTGTGACCTATCTAGTTTAATTCTCAAAACTTATGCATTATATACACATTATGATTTATATAATATTTTTGGATTTTTTTAACCTTTTTAACTCTAGCCCTAAAGGCTGAAGTTGATGACATTTGATGGCCTTAGTTCATGGAAATTGATGCTATAGCCTTCATGGTTAGGAATTTCCCTACTTGTATAAATAGAAACATTTCCTCTCCAACACGGTAAAATAATTTTTGGAGAGATTTTTAATGAGAAATGAGATGGTATTTTGAGATAATAAAGTTTGAGATGATTTTTATACCAAAGAAAAATTTCCTTATCTTTTTTACTAACCCCTTCTTTGGTTCTTGTTAGAAAAAAACTATTGTCATTATCAAATTCGCTGAAACTATTCAGAAGGTGTTTCTACATTAGTTGGTTTCAATCGTCATATCTTAAGAGACAGATGCCAATGTACCTCCAGCGCTCATCAGGGAAGTGGCGAATTTGTTTTAAGGAAATTATGATTACACAAGCTTCGGTCTACATATCTTATTTTATTTCAATTTATCATTTTATTCGAGTATATGTTTGTTTTATGTTTTTGTTCATCAAATTGTAATATTCGGCCATCATTCTTGTATTTTTAGTTTTGTAATTTATTCTATATTTCATTATTTAGGCCTTGTTTGTCATCTACTATATAATCCATCTTTTTATCTTTTTATCTTTTTTCCATCACATCACCTCTCTACTTTTCTGCACATCTTTTCGTAAAAAGACAAAAAATGCACTTTTTAGTACACCCCAAACCGACCCTTAATAAAAAAATAAAAAAAAATTATTTTTTCATTTCTATTTAATTTTTTAAAAATATTTTTCTAATATTATTATGAAAAAATATCAACAATTGTAAAATTAAACAGTATATATTTAAATCTATTTTAATTATTTAATTTAATCAGATTATTATGATATTTTAATTCTTGATATATATAAATCCTATAAATCTTACATAATCTTACATTAATTCCATTTTATCTCCCCTACAATCTTCTACCACCACCTCAGGCTGGCGTAATCCACTTCCAATTGCACCTACTACCTGTCACCTTCACCGCAGTCCCCATGGTTAGCTACCCCACCTCGGTCACTCATTACCATTAGCCACCACCACCAGTCACCTCACCTCGTACAATCATTTCGCAATTCGCCAAATATATATTTAAAATATGAAAAATGCTTGGGAGCACTAATTAGTGCTCCCACTAATTAGGTGGCAGTGAGTCTCGTCATTAATGATGTGATGTTTTGGTTTTGGAGTTGTGTTTTTTTTTTTTTTTACTTTTTTAATGCATTAGTGCTATTAGTGGTGATGTTTTTAGTGGGATGAATCATTGTTGTTAAAATATATGTGCACAAAATATGTTTTATGTTTTTATTTAAAAAATAAACAAATAAAAAATTAAAAACAAACAATTATTAATAAAAATTATATTTTCTTGTAAAAGATATGACAACATTGTATTTTCATTCATATACTTAATAAATTATTAATAAAAATTAGACAAGTATTATATGAATTAAAATCTCAAAAGAAATTAACATAATTATGTTAAAATTATGAGACTTACTATATTTTCTTTAAACTTCAAGGGAGCTCAGCATAATTTACCTATGGCCTACTTTGGGAAGATGGTAAAAAGTAAATTTTTAGCTTTTAACCAAGCTTCTGACTTTTTTAGACAAATGATTCGGGAAGTTGGTAAAAGTTGCTTTTGGCTTTTTTGATTAATATTTATTTATGATGTCAGATCACAATAAAATGACCAAACTACCCCAATTAATTTAAAATATTTACAACTTCACTCATGTAGTACATTTTGACTCATTAGCGGTAGAATTGTAATTTCACTAGTAGCTAAAAACCAGCTTCTCAAATGAAAAAAAAAAATACAAAAAGTCAACTTTTGACTTTTGTTACAAACAAAAAAAAGTGACTAAAAGCCAACTTCTCAAAATAGGCCATAACTATGTCTAGATTATGTCAAGAATAGAATAAAGCTTGAGACCCCCACCCACAGTGACCCCCAGTGACCCCCAATGCCACGTGGCACCGCCTGATTGGAAGGAAAGGAAAAAAAAATTATTTTTGGGCTACTGGGGGTGCTGGGGGTGCCCCCACTGGGGGTCCCTAGCACCACTGGTCAAGAATATCATCCAAAAACTGAACTTTGTTGTTACATCACAAAGCTATCATCCATAGAGCTGACTTGAGTTGTAATATAAAGATTTCCATTTCTTCACAAACTTAAAATTCATCGCTCTTTTTTTTTTTTCTTTTTTTTTTTGACATCCTTGTATAGGTAACCCAACCCCCTCCTTTTTTTTTTTTGAACAACACCAATTTACCGCTAACCCAACCCACTTGATCAACTTTCTTTCAATATATAAGCACCAGCAAACAAGGAAGAATTTTAATCTTTCTACCCTACAATGTAGGTAGGACATTTTACATCCACTTCACATAAGAAATTACGAATACCTGCAATCACTCATTCGACATTTAAGTTGTTATGATGCAGCTACTATTATATGCTTGGGTTCGATGCTTCTTATCGTATGCTCTTTGGATGACTAATAAACACTTCTCTTCATGATGAAATTTAGGTTTTATAAGACCCCAAACTACCCAAAAACTTGATCTCAATCTCACATTGATCGCTAGCGGCAATCCTTTCCTCATGTCAAGCATGTCTTGCATAGCTCTTCCAGCACCATACATTGGCTTGTTCTTTGTTGCTACATTTAATTGAAAAGATGTTGTACCGTCACTCCCTGCATATAATTTCGGACCCTACAACATCGCGGTAAAACAATTAAAACATTTTATTTTGAGTAACATAACAAGTCAATAGATTTGAACATAGGTACACATGACCAAAAAATATAAATAAATGAAAATCTATAAACTTAAATGCACTTTTTTTTTTTTTTTTGATCGGCAAAAAATTGTGACACTTGTTCATTGAAATGTCACTAGAGCCTTTTATGTTTGTCGTTTTGTGGCATTTTTCAAAAACGTGCCACTAAATATCATTTTTTGTGGCATTTTTTAAAAATATGCCACTAGTGTAGTGCCACTAAAGTATGTTTTTGTTGTAGTGCCACCTCGTACAATCATTTCGCAATTCGCCAAATATGTATTTAAAATATATGTGCACAAAATATGTTTTATGTTTTTATTTAAAAAATAAACAAATAAAAAATTAAAAACAAACAATTATTAATAAAAATTGTATTTTCTTGTAAAAGATATGACAACATTGTATTTTCATTCATATACCTAATAAATTATTAATAAAAATTAGACAAGTATTATATGAATTAAAATCTCAGAATAAATCAATATAATTATGTTAAAATTATGAGACTTACTATATTTTCTTTAAACCTCAAGGGAGCTCAGCATAATTTACCTATGGCCTACTTTTGGAAGATGGTAAAAAGTAAATTTTTAACTTTTAACCAAGCTTTTGACTTTTTTAGACAAATGATTAGGGAAGTTGGTAAAAGTTGCTTTTGGCTTTTTTGATTAATATTTATTTATGATGTCAGATCACAATAAAATAACCAAACTGCCCTAATTAATTTAAGATATTTACAACTTCACTCATGTAGTACATTTTGACTCATGAGCGGTAGAATTGTAATTTCACTAGTAGCTAAAAACCAGCTTCCCAAATGAAAAAAAAAAAAAAAATGCAAAAAAGTCAATTTTTAGCTTTTGCTACAAACCAAAAAAAGTGATTAAAAGCCAACTTCCCAAAATAGCCCATAACTATGTCTAGATTATGTCAAGAATATCATCCAAAAACTGAACTTTGTTGTTACATCACAAAGCTATCATCCATAGAGCTGACTTGAGCTGTAATATAAAGATTTCCATTTCTTCACAAACTTCAAATTCATCACTTTTTTTTTTTTTTTTCACATCCTTGTATAGCTAACCCAACCCACTTGATCAACTTTCTTTTAATATATAAGCACCAGCAAACAAGGAAGAATTTTAATCCTTCTACCCTACAATGTAGGTAGGACATTTTACATCCACTTCACATAAGAAATTATGAATACCTGCAATCACTCATTGGACATTTAAGTTGTTATGATGCAGCTACTATTATATGCTTGGGTTCGATGCTTTTTATCGTATGCTCTTTGGATGACTAATAAACACTTCGCTTCATGATGAAATTTAGGTTTTATGAGTCCCCAAACTACCCAAAAACTTGATCTCAATCTCACATTGATCGCTAGCGGCAATCCTTTTCTCATGTCAAGCATGTCTTGCATAGCTCTCCCAGCACCATACATTGGCTTGTTCTTTGTTGCTACATTTAATTCAAAAGATGTTGTTCCGTCACTCCCTGCATATAATTTCGGACCCTACAACATCGCGGTAAAACAATTAAAACATTTTATTTTGAGTAACATAACAAGTCAATAGATTTGAACATAGGTACACTTGACCAAAAAATATAAATAAATGAAAACCTATAAACTTAAATGCACTTTTTTTTTTTTTTGATCGGCAAAAAAAATATTTATTGATGACAACATACAAAGTATGGAATAGTATGAGAACCTATAAACTTAAATGCACTTGAATGCATAAAAGAAAGAGAAACAATAGTAACCTAGAATTTTATTTTTTTTTAAACAAAAATGTTTAGAATATTATGCTCATAGCATGGTATTCATTCTAGATGAAGCTCATATAGTCTACTAGAATTAAGGCAATGCTTTTCGCATTACATTCTTGCTACATTTCTCTACTTTCTTTCTTTCATTTTTTTTGTTTTTGCTTCTAAATTTGTACATGGAGTTGATGATGTCACAACAGATAATGACAATGAAATATTGAGGCACAAAATTAGTAAAGCTTACATATGAAATGGCTAAAGGAAGAGAAGCAAATGTCAATTCCATGATTGGAGGGTGGACATGAAGGTTGAAGAGCTTGGACTTGTTCTCTACCACTAGATCCATTGAACAATTGCATGTCAATATTTTAGTTGTAACACCAGTTCCATCCACTCCCTCTCCTAGTCCGAATTCTCGAATTCCCAATATCTGCAACAATTTTTAAACTCGATATTAATTTTTATTAGTAAAAATAAAATTTTATTAATAAAAATGGTACTACATACATGCAAAGACTATATATCCTCAAAATTATGTATGCCATACATTCTAATTTCCGACCATTAAATTTAAGAAAATAAATTTAAATCATCAATTGGTCTGATTATTAAAAAAATTTAGAATCATAAGAAAATCACAACTTTGTCATCAACCTTGGCCTGTCACATTAATTTTTATATTATAATAATGTTTTGTTTTCATCAACTTGGGTCTGTCACAATCGGTTGTTTTCCGTAAAATGCCACCACTATTGCCCTATTTTGACACAACCAATATACAATTGGTCAAAAAATAGGACAGCTCTCTACTAGCTAAGACTAAATAATAACAGAATTTTGGGATTTTTGTTCTAGTTTATATGTCAAGTTATAATTAAAATAAAGGTTTATTATACTTTTTATTTTTAAATCATCGTCAATTTATCTACTTAGTACTTGAACTATTGACGGAGTATATTAGGTCCTTAAAGTATATAAATCAAAATCTATTTAGTTTCTAAACTATTAATTGAATCTATTAAGTTCCTAAAATATTTAGTTCAAATATATTTAGTTCCTGAAAAGATTATAAAAATAAAATATATGTTCATAAATATTATAAATTAGTAAAAGACCCTACCTATTAAGATTTTATTTCATAAAAAGTTTAATTTGTTTTCTATTTTGTATTTAAATAGGCTTTGATTTATAATTCAAAGACTAAGTAGACAATTTGTCAATAATTTAAGGATTAAAGTGTAATAAACCTTTAAAATAAATCATTTTTTTTTTAAGTTCAAAAAAAAAATCATTTTGTTTAGTACATCTATAATTTTTTTATTTTTACAATAATTATAAATATGTTGTTTGATAAATTTGTTAGTTTTTTGATTTCTTGGTAAGTTGTTTTGGGTAACATAATTTTTTTTTTTTTTTTTTTTTAGGTTTTTTTTACTTACTAAATTTGAATAATTTTTTTTAAACTTGTTTGTTAATATGTGATAAATAGCCGACTTTTAAAGTAATTTAATTAAAAATTCAAAGAAGTTATGATGATGCGCAAAACGTCACCGACATTGTAATGATAAGGAATAATTTAATCCGAGAGTATTATATGGACAATGAACAAATAAAGAGTACGTTAAAAACACATGGTTGATGTGGTGATGGCTAACGAATGAATTGGGGCTACGGAAGGAAATCAAAAAAAAAATTCAAATCAATTAGTTCAGTCTAATTTAATAGGTTTGGTTTGATTTTTTTTAATCCATAGTTTGGTCTCAGTTTAAAAAATTTGAGAATCAATTTTTGTGGATTGGTTTAGGATTTAACTTCACAGTTTCGGATTGAAACCAAACTTGATTTTAACAAATGATAAGTATCTTTTTTACTGATAAAAAAAAATTATGATTTTATCCCAATCCGAATCAAATTGAACTACACTCACCCTTAGAATGAATTAACAAATGATAAGCAATCATGAGGATAAGTAATTGGAATTAAATTTGTGAATTAGTAAATTTTAACAAAGAGAAAGGAAAAAGAATAACTATACGAACATATTTACCCACATAGTTTTTTTCTTTCTTTCTTTTTTTCTTTTAATAAAAATAACCACTTCACCTTTTGAAAAAAATCACCATTTATTTATTTCCGATTTTATGTATTACAAATCAACAAATAAATTTTCTCCTTAATGACACCTAACTTGTGGAATTGTTTTAGTGCGTGGTGAATTGATTTTATTCTTACATACTATTACTATGTAAATCACATCATGAAGTATAGAATTTTGGACAAATTACAAATGAGGGTTGTTTGAAAAAAGAATCAAATTAATTCAAAACTTTCAAAATTGCAATATAAGTGGAATAAATGAAAATAATTTTAAATCAAAGAAAAGGAAAATATGATATATCGGGCTCCAAATGATCAAATTTAGCGGTTTAGAACAATCAATACTTGGTGACCACTAGATCCATTTACATTGTTTACAATTGGTTTTGACAAAAAAAGCCCATCTTTCTTCCATTCTCTTCCTCTTCCTCTTCTATCTCCAACTCACCATTATAAAACCCTCCTACCCTTTATTTCCACCGGAACAAATTACCAACACTTCCCTCGAAATTTGATTAAAACATGAATTCTCTCTTGAAATTTGAAAAATTACAAATTATCCCTTGAAGTTTATATTTGCATAACAAATTGCTCCCTCATTTGTTATGCAAATATAAATCTCAATTTCTCTTCATTCCCACCATGACCATCATCTTCTCTCCCTTTTTTCCCTACGCTCCTTAATCCTTCCTTCCCTCTACCAAACACCAGTAAAAATTATTACGGAGAATTTTAATCCTTAAAATTTTAGAACATCTCATTAATTAATTAATTTATTTTTTCTCAAACACAACTGATTTTTCCACATGTACATCATGTTTGTATGCTACTGACACCTTTTCCAATACTTCACAGGTGGGGACTTCAACACTTCCTAAGCCAAGGTGGAAGAGAGTGATTGGAAAATGGCATTAATTGAAAAAGAAAAGGTTTTATGTTTGTGTAAATTACTAGGCCCAAGAGCCCAAATAGAGGGCCTGAAATTTTCCATAGTCAGGCCCAAAGTTAAATTCAGGGTACTTTAGGCTCAATTACAAAATGATATAGGCTCCAAATCCAATCCTTCATATAGATGAAAGTTGAAATAGGAAGGTCATGTTGGAGTCATTTTCAGCTTGGGCTTAGCTTACCTTGGCCCTAGCTCGGCTTGACTATCAAGCATAGTTATTCTTCAAAAAAAATATTTTAAAAAGTATTTCAAAATTAAAATATATAATGTAAATTTAAAATTAATATATTTTGTGCCAAAATTAGAATAAATTTAATCTACACACACTTTATTTTTGAATAAATTTAAGCTGAGAGGTGCTTTCGACATAAAAGACAAATTACAAGAACTATAAGTATAATATGCCCAAAGTTTTGTACCAAATTCTCCTTTGAAACTATGTGCTGGTAGCATTTTTAATTAGAAGCCATCTTAGTGGTTTTTTTTTTTTTTTTTCTTTTTTAAAGTTTTTTTTTTTTTTTATTTTTTTTTTTTTTCACTCCCCCTTAAAAAAAAAAAAAAAAAAAACTCAAAGTGCAAAAATAAATAAAGAAAAGAAAAGAAAAGAAGAAGGAAAAGTCTAGAAAATTGACATGTAGCTTTCAAAAGGGTCAGGGTGGTCG